TATTATTATTATTATTATTATTATTATTATTACACTTACTTACTTACGCCTGTTACCCCTCGTGAAGGATCATAGGCCACTCACCAGCATTTTCCATCCAACCCTGTCTCAAGCAATCCTTTCCAGTTTTTATACATCTGCTTCTATTCCCCGACGTAATGTGTTATTTGGCCTTCCTCTTTTCCGCTTCCCTTCAGGATTCCAAGTTAGAGCTTGCCTCATGAAGTAGTTTGATGATTTGCGTAATGTATGTCCTATTCATTTCCATAGTCTTCCTAATTTCTTCTTCAGCTGGAAGCTGGTCTGTTCTCTACCAGAGAAGGCTGTTGCTGATGGTATCCGGCCAATGAATGTTGAGTATTTTGCGTAGACAGCTATTTATAAATACTTGTACCTTCTTGATGGTAGTTGTTGTAGTTCTCCATGTTTCAGCCGCGTACAGTGGAACTGTCTTGACGTTCGTATTGAAGATTCTCACTTTGAAATTGGTTGAAAGTTGTTTTGAGTTCCATGTGTTCTTCAATTGTAGGAATGCGGCCCTTGCTTTGCCAATCCTCGCCTTTACGTCTGCATGTGAACCTCCTTGTTCATTGATGATGCTTCCCAGGTATGTGAAAGATTCTACATCTTCCAGAGTTTCGCCATCAAGAGTGGTCGTATTGCTGTTCTCCGTTTTGAATTTGAGGACCTTGGTTTTCCCCTTGTGTATGTTGAGACCTACTGATGTAGAGACTGCTGCTACACTGGCTGTCCTTATCTGCGTTTGTTCGTGTGTATGCGATGGGAGGGCTAGGTCATCTGCGAAGTCCAAACCGTCTAATTGGTTCTGAGCTGTGTTTTCCCTCAAATGTCGAGGTCTTCATAATCCAGTCGACCACCAGAAGAAAGAGGAGGGGAGAGAGTAGACAGTCTTGTCTGACTCCGGTACGTACTTGGAATGCGTCTGTCAGCTGTCATCCATGCACTACTTTGCACTGTAGTCCGTCGTGTGAGTTCCGGATAACGTTGACAATCTTCTCAGGGACTCCGTAGTGTCGAAGAAGTTTCCATAACATCCTCCTATCTACACTGTCAAATGCCTTTTCATAATCAATGAAGTTGATGTACGGTGACGAGTTCCATTCAATTGATTGTTCGACGATGATCCGTAGTGTTGCAATTTGGTCTGTGCACGACCGATCCTTACGGAATCCAGCTTGTTGATCTCGAATTTAGGTGTCTACTGCGTCTTTCATCCGGTTCAGTGACACTCTGCTAAAGACTTTCCCTGGTACTGACAGTTGTGTAATTCCTCTGTAGTTTTCAGATTTACTCAGATCTCATTTCTTTGGAATCTTGATGAAGTGTCCTTCTTTCCAGTCCATCGTCACTTGTTACTCCTCCCAAATCTTTTTGAATAGAAGGTAAAGCATGTTTGTAGTTACTTCAATGTTTGACTTCAGTGCTTCAGCTGGTATGTTGTCGGGTCCTGCTGCTTTCCCGCTCTTGATTTGTCGGATGGCCATTCTGATTTCTTCCGTCGTTGGTGGATTGACATCTATAGGAAGATCTGTGTGTGCTGCTTCGATGTCCGGTGTATTCAAGTAATCTACCCATCTGTTCCGCTGTTGTTGAATTTCAGTGGTTGGCCTGCCTTCTTTGTCTTTGACCGGTCTCTCTGGTTTACTATATTTCCCTGCTCGTTTCTTCGTTGTATCGTAAAGCTGCTTCGTATTTCCTTCTCTTGCAGCTCTTTCTGTTATCATTGTTAGTTCTTCCACGTATTTCTTTTTGTCAGCTCTAATGCTCTTCTTCACTTGCTTGTTTGTTTCTACGTACTCAGCTTGTGCTTGGACTTTCTCTGCTCGTGTTTGGCTGTTGTTAATTTCTGTCTTCTTGTTCCTCCTTTCTTTGATCCTGTCCAGTGTTTCTATAGAGATCCATTCATTATGATGATGCTTCTTTAGGCCCAGAACCTCTTGACACATTGAAGTTAATGCTTCTTTGATAACTTTCCAGTTGTCCTCCGTGGTGGTTTTTTCTTCCTTCAGTAGATCATGTAAGGCTTGGAACCTATTGTTGAGAGTTATCTTGAATTTATTGAGTTTATCAGTATCTTGAAGGAAGGCTGTATTGAACCTTTGTAATGCTGTTTGTCCAGTTGTTCAGTTCTTCTTTAGCTTCACTTTTAAATTGGCCACAACTAGGTGGTGATCTGAAGCTACGTCAGCTCCTCTCCTGGTTCTCACATCTTCCATTGTCCTTCGGAATTTTTTATTGATGCAGATATGATCTATCTGGTTCTCTGAGGTGTGGTCCAGTGAGATCCATGTAGCTTTGTGATACGTTTGTGTGGAAATATTGTGCCGCTTACGACCAATTTGTTGAATGCACACAGATTTGCAAATCTTTTCCCATTTTCGTTTCTCTCACTCAGTCCATGTCGTCCCATGATATCTTCATATCCGGTGTTGTCTATTCCAACTTTGGCACTTAGATCTCCCATTAGAATGGTGAGGTCCTTCCTTGGGCATTTCTCGATGATTGACTGCAGCCGCTCGTAGAATTGATCTGTAATGTCGTCGTTGGTATCATTGGTGCATAACATTAGATAATATTAATTAAAATCCCCTCCTTCTTTGCTTTGAATGATGCTTTGATGATTCTGGACCCGTGAGATTCCCATCCTACAAGTGCATTTCGTGCTACTTTGGACAGCGATAGAGCGACTCCCTGAGTGTGTGGAGCATTTTCCTCTTCGTGACCGGAGTATAGCAGTAACTCTCCCGTAATTACCCTTTTCTGTCCAGTTTGGGTCCAGTGGATTTCGCTGATTCCCAGTACTGCCAAATTGTATCTCCTTATTTCCGTTGCTATTTGACTGGTCTTCCCGGTCTCCCACATTGTTCGGACGTTCCATGTACCTATAAAAATTGTTGCTCTGGTTGTTAAAAGGGGCATCGGCCTCGTGGCTTCCGAAGGAACTCGGCTTTCACCATGAGGCGTCATAGTTCTTCTAAATGAAGACTTTCTAACTCCTAGGGCAGAGTTCAAATAGTTTAAATTGTTTTTTCTGTTTAGCGTTTTTTAGCGAGTTAGTTTTCTACGGGATGGGGTCGCTAACCCAGTGCCCAACTCTCCTCCTTTACCCGGGCTTGGGACCGAGTGTAACTCTAGAAGAGCTATAGGCGGAGTTATTATTACACTACCGTATACTAATTTTATCGTTTTCGTTCTTTTTTTAACGCTCCTTACCTTCCTTGTTTTTCTCTTCGGACTCTCGTTGTCTTGTGTGGCGCATATATATTTGGTGACCCCTTGTACCAATATTTATGTGTTCAAATAAATAAATAAATTTGGAGCGAGGTTTCAGTAAACCTGGGACAGTGTTTTGCGCACTAGAATCGTTGTCCATGGTGACATTTGAGGAGGAAGTCGAAAGGGGAAGTTTCGAGTTAAAAGTCGAGGTAGGGGGAATAATAGGAATTAAAGAGGGAGATCGATCACGAATACAGTGATCTTGAGTACTGTTAGAGGTATAAGGGTGGTTGTCATTTCACAGTTGCCCACACCTTGGAAGGGTTCTTCCAGAGGTACGTGAAAAGGAAATAGAGTTAGAGGTGGTCTTAGTGACCTAAGAGCGTGACCGCGGTGCCCAAAGAACAACTGCTTGAGGCCGACTGCAAGCAATTTGGTGGGAAGTGGAAAATCTAATAGGGTTTATAGTTCAGAGTGAAAAAGCGATAGCTTGAAAAATAAATGATGATATTATCAGTATAGGGTTTTGTGGAGATTGTAGTACTTTAACAGTTGAACTCATAGGTCAATCGAAGCTAAGTTGGACTAACACTGTTGGATACCGGCTCAGTGGTCTACAGGCTGTGCGTTCGCGCGCGGGATTGAAGGTCCCTGGGTCCGACTTCCGTGTATGAGGTCGTAAATGCTCACTACTGGGGCGAAAAGGCTGTCCAGTGTCTCCAGGTTTCCATTAGTGGTCTGGTTTAGATTAACCCGTAAATTCAGCTGTTAAAATATTAGTATTCTAGACAATTTTTGGGTGACTTCGACACATACTGGACAGCTTGTTTTGAAATGTTTATTTCTTGTGCATTGAATTCATAAAGCGCTCAACGTTAAATCACTATTAAGAACTTGAAAGCACTGCACGCCTGTTTCATCCTAGTATGATACTTTGGCCATACTCATCCACGACTTCGTGCTCGGGAATCGAACTCAAGATCTTTAATCTCGCATTCAAATACCTGAACTCTAGATTAATGGGTTGGTATTCAACGGTATTAATGGATTATTTAGTCAAATCTTGGGATTCATGAGATTAGTATAACTCACTTCAGACTATATCTACATGAAGTCCTAATTTTCCTTTTAAGGTAAAATAGTGTCATTTGAAAATGTATAAATAATCAGTTGAATGAATTAAACTACTCAACTCGTGATTTACTACTAAATAATATAATTGTATGCTTGATAACAGGTTCATAAAAAGTTATTCTATGGAGTTCACGGCTCATCAAACTAATTTGATTAAATAAAAATTGTAAATATATTAAGGTTTTAACAGTGTACTCAGGGAATGGAAGGGCGACGAGTTGCATAAAAGTGTATTGTATTATATAAAAGAAATCTCTTGAGAATTAACTTTTGTTACTGGTCTTATTGTGGTGCATACTACTTATACTGACAGATATAAGTAATATGTAGCACCAATCGGAAGTGGAATGCCTGGTAGCACCAGATTAAGAAGATTGAATTGAAGAGAACAGAAAGGGAAACAAAGAGCAGTTGTTATAACGACAGGATTAAAAGAACCGTGAAAGATGTTAAAGATAAATGGAGGAAGATTTGCAAATAATGTATTTAATGTATGGTTTTCATATGTACGAAGGCATTCAGTAATTTTGCACTAAACAATAAATTGGTTTCCCCCACCTGAGTTCTCGTTCACTAATGAGATTTTGTGTTTACTAACCATGAATTTTCATTGTTTTATTTTTTATTAGTCTTTCTGGATGGATGAATGACAGTATACTGAGTGATGCACGAGATTTACTGAAGGTAATTGTCAAGATATTTATTCGGAAAATCTTCATTGTCAGTGCTACGAAAAGTGTAATATTTTTTCAGCTTATAAGTTCAGGTCAGTTTCATACGGAGCCGGTGTTCATCCTGGCATTGACTTGGCTAGTATATTATCGGAAATCTTTGACGCATCAATAATGTAAATTATAAGGTTTGATGTAAATCTCACGAACTACTAGAATTTTACAAGGAACTTTGAAGGATGAGTTGATAATGAATGCATCAGATACAAGGCTAGGGTGAACTGTTAGTTCAGCATCGTGAGGATGAAGCAAAAGTCAATATTCTTTTTATTACACTTTTATAATTACATGTAGGTTATCGTAAGATGTTTCAGATTCTAGAAGGAACACTTGAAGAAAAGAATACTGTATTCCGTACACTTACCGTTTAGGTGTTGAAGTTTTCCAATATATGAAGCAACTGCCTAGATAGTTCGAGAGAATTGTTGCATAAGTTGCAGTTATCTAGGAAACTTTTGTCTAGTCAGTGAGCTGTGAGTGATAAGGTGATGAACACTTTCGGTTGATTGCAGGCCATCGACAGAAGCCTTAGTAGTGTAACCATATGAATTTCTACCCATTGAACAGCATATTGGTGTCCAGCAGCCCAATATATACCAAAAGTCTTCATCAATAGCTAGAAGATTCTTTTGGTGAATGGTAGCACTATCCACAAAATTTCTGGCCATTATGAGTAAGCATCCACAAGTTGTGGTTAGGTAATCCCGTTTATCGGGCTGACGAACATAAATATTTAAGGTGGACTTAATGAATGGACTATAAATCTTATCTTAAGACGGTATGTTCAAATAACTTCAACAGTCACAAAACACCGATACTTAAGAACCGTTTATTCGAATCGATTAGGGGGATGTTTATTGTAATGCTACACTAATGTTTACATATCGCAAACTAGTTCTCTGTATGTGTTCACAATAAGTTTCCTTATTTGACCGCCTGTGGTCGTTTGCGAAGTCCAATATCCATTGCTACTATTTTTTTCATCTAATTCATTTACTGATTCCAAGGTTATTTTTAAAGTCTACACCAATATTCCTAGATATTTCCGCCCTTAAATGTTGGAAGCTGTCAATTCGAAAACATAAACAAGACTACTGGCTAGAAGAGTCGTTTTTTACGCTCTAAAATAACATACAAAATATTGACACAAAAACATGAAATGTCGTAAGCTATCGGAGGAAATCAGTTTTTAGGTCACTCACTGTCCAATAATTTAAGACCTGACTGTTGGGCTTAATTACAGACCATCATATCAGAATGGTCTAGTGATTATTGGCATACGAACTTTAATATTATCTAAAACGATAATAAAACTTCCCAATCAAACTATGCAGCTCAGCGAGGATAACATGAAAGATACATGGATTTCTTTTGTTAATGCTTCAACTGTCCCTATGATATTGAACAGTATAGGAATGTTAAACAGTGTTTAATTGTATTCAGTTGGGTTTATATGTATCACAGTAATTAACAGGCTGAAGTTTTAACCAATAAGTGCTGGGTTTGAATTTCAGTGAAAAGGAATTAATGTGACTGTACATTCATCAGGCAAATCGCTTTATATCCGGTACCAAGTAATGTTAAAGTGGATTTTTACTATTATCGTTATTATCATCATCGTTATATTTCGATAGAAGGAAGTTTGGGACTAAATTGCTGAAATCATATGTAAGATTGGTGCAAACCACGATTGATGTGTAACTTGAATTTGGCGTTTGGTTTGGATAATTCAATAAAAAGACTAAATTTATCAGAACTGAACTTAATTTTTTAAATTGATTTGATTAATTATTCTAACAAGAAAAAGTTAGTAAAAATTACATGCATATAATTTCTTTGTAAATTAAAAAATTCAGTCATTTCATCCTAAAGAAACTAAAAAAGTGGCAATGATGGTAAGTTTCTTGTCAATCAACATAGATTTCTAATTACACTAGTGATTATTGAACCTGAAAAATAATGAAACATAAAAGTCAACATGAAAATGGTAATTCTCCGTCCAGCTAGTTTGATGAATTATTCTAATGCATCATTTCAGTATTGGATTTAGGTGGGTAAACATTGTAATAGGTGTTTACAAATGCAAATAGATAACCGTGATAACTCAATGTACATAGTACGTTCAATTAATGCTAGACGTGTAATGAGTCTAATATTAATGAATGATTGAACAGTTTACACTTCCATAAATTAATAAGAATTGAAGAAAATTTTTGATTCAGGTCATAAACTGATTGATGTAAGACCGCCATTGAAGACCTGAAAGCACTAGACGGCTGTCTTGTCCTATGGATATAACATCTTTCAATGACTCTGTATTTTACGGTGAATTGTTTTCCATATTCACCTCGTATTAGGGTTAAAATGGGTAGAAGTTAAATTGTCGGTCAAAAAATGAAATACATATAAGACGTTCCCAAAATAATTTGTCCCATTAATTTTATGTAATTACACTATATGTCATACTATTGAAACCAGGAGACTGAGGACGTGGTTTCTAATTACAGTGATTGAGAGATTGCATTACACTGATAAACGGTGCAAGTCACTGCCGTTGCATTTTCGCTTGGTGGACGAGCATGTTAAAAAGTCTGTTAGGGTCCACATCTTCGTCCATGTTATTATCTCCGTCATTAAACTCTCCACAGTTAATCAACAGCACATCATCTTCTTCTTGATGAATTGGGGTTGTATTCGAATTCACGTTCACTAGATAAATGTGATGATTAAAGGCTTCGTTTCTTGGCATTTCATTAGCCATAGGAGGTTACACTGCTATGGGGAGGCTCAAGCGTACTTGATTACACCCAAGATGGTCTTCCCATAAATTATGTTATGGTTAATATTTTAAGTCGTCTCAAACTGCTGGTCCTGCGTACTGTGAATCCATCAGGAAATTCTCTGCTTACTCAGCTCTATTTCATGGATAGGGAAATAGTTTTCGACAGGTGCACTGAAGAGTTTGTTATAAGATAGCAGCCACCTTGGACTAGCAATTTCTGTGCAAACGGCCGTGTTAGTATGTTACCAATGGACAATCAGATGTCAGCACAGCAATCCGTTTTCAGTTTAAAAGTGCCAGGAACAGTTGGTCATGTTGCCGTATATGTTGAAGGTGCCTATTTCTTCAACGACTGTACACATATCGACTGATGTAATAATCTCTGTCATAAGTAGGCGTAGATAACGCTTCAATAACTCATATGCAGCAGGTGTCAGTTTTTCCCCGCAGACGATGAATTTGAATTTTAGATCCAATTATTGGGGTAGTCTGTTTGTTTTTGAACACATGCTTTCATTCAGTTCCCAGCCTACAAAAACAGATTGAAGATTGATATGGGTACGTGAGTATTTCTTGTTAATTTGTGGGGTTTCTGAATTCTGTCTTGTCTCCACCAAAGTGGTATTTCATTGTTCTGGGAGTCGAGCAGCTAGCCGGAATGGATTTCACTATTTTTGTTTCAATAATAATTGATCTTGTATACGCTAGATGAGATCCGGCGTCTGATTTTTCAATCATGTGTAGATGATTTCGAAAACTAGAATACAGACTGGTTTAGTATAAAAATTTCTGTTTACCTGTGCACATTTTTAGTTACTATCATGCGGAAGGACAACTAAACAATCTCCGATTGCACCATCCACAATTCCATTTAAAGTTAAGGATAGTTCGCTTATTAACACACTATTTTTATCATGTTTCGAATGAGATATGCACAACATAGAAAGTGGTAAAATTTCGGATAAACTTCTGTTGCTCATCTTTTCTTCACACGTCAAGCAAATATTTTAAAGTATATTGAGTTTCTTTAGCAAACAGTCATCAGTGTCAAATTTATCAACTCCCCTCTTTTTGCATTCAACAACACTTTGTTCTCACCCGGAAACCACTTTGGTCATATTGATTTATTATATAACCTAGTTTTCCTCATTATCTTGAGTCCTAATGTGTCTAGTTGACCTTTTATTTACCAGGTATGTATATGATCAAATTGTTCGAAATGTTGAAGAGATCAAAAACAAGGATTCTAGCAGAATAGCATGAATTCATTTTATTTCGTTTAGTTTTCGTCAACTGCTTACAACCTTTGATATTTAAAAACAATTACAAAATGGGTTTAAATTACTTACATGAAAGTTTAGTTGGAAGTTATTTTGAAGACACATCAGTATAGTATAAGAAGTGTGTAAATAGATGTAGACTAAATATTGTAAATATATATGTAAAAGAACATTCTACAACGCTGATTGTAACATGAGTTCAAAGAGCCAGAAACAAGTGATTACACTATGAGTAAACGCTGTTAGGAATAAAATGAGTAAAGCCTAGTTAATAAAATGGGATTACTAATGTGCAAGACAGACTAACTAAAAAAAATTATGTAGTTAATGCAGAAAAGATTTCTAAAAAATTGTTAAGAAGCAACAAATATTTATAGCATTTTTAGCAACTATCCTCCGATATTATCTAGTACTATAGACAGATATCAGCTATTCAGAAGTCCGTCCTCCCTGCATAGTTAATAAATTAAATTTTCATACACATAGTTCCCTTTATTATCTTAAATAGAGCAAGAACAAAGATTGGTGCAGAATAATACATGAATTCATTTTATTTCGTTAGGTTCTCATCAGCTGCTTACAACCTAAATTATTTGAAAATTCAACATTATTACAGATATTGACATATTTATATATAAGAGTGTGATTAAGGATCAATACATGTGTATGATGATGTAGCAAGCAATGATTCAGATAGAGTTAATGAGCTCATAAAATGTTTGATTCGAATAAATAAATAAAGTTTGAGAGGGAAAGTTCTGGAACACTGAAATAGTGATTAGAACTCATGAAAATAGATTAATGGTAATAAAGAAAATATGAATTGAAATCAATCAGTTATGTATGATGTAATTTATATTTCAGAAAGAGTTGCAATAATGACGTAATAAATAAATAAATAGGAGCAAATTAATAGAAAGAGTGGGGGTTATTGTTACCAGGGTAAAGAAAGATTTATTACTGTCTCTTTTTGTATACATAGATCTGGTTTTAAGCGTTTGATTTCAATTCACATTTTCTTTATTACCATTAATCTATTTTCATGAGTTCTAATCACTATTTCAATGTTCCAGAACTTTCCCTCTCAAACTTTATTTATTTATTCGAATCAAACATTTTATGAGCTCATTAACTCTATCTGAATCTTTGCTTGCTAGATCATCATACACATGTATTGATCCTTAATCACACTCTTATATATAAATATGTCAATATCTGTAATAATGTTGAATTTTCAAATAATTTAGGTTGTAAGCAGCTGATGAGAACCTAACGAAATAAAATGAATTCATATTATTCTGCACCAATCTTTGTTCTTGCTCTATTTAAAATTAAATTTTATAGTAATACATCACTGTGCATATTCACCACTATTTTCTTTGTTTAGTTCATGGCTTCCTGAAGACTACTTCTTGTCATATAACATAAAAATAATTTCTTGTTAATATGGTTTTTTGTAAACATTTTGTTTTATAAATTGTTTATGTTTCTTAAATGCCATCACTTTATTTTCTTTCAACTGAAAATAGAGATTCAAAGATTCCAATGATGATGAGGAAAAATTTGTAAGTCAAGGGTTTTCTTGGATCGATCCAAAAAGTATGTCGATATTTTCTAGTGAAACACCTGTTAAACCGAATTCTTCGACATATACATAGAAGTTTACTATTTCTTATGATACTTAGATTCTTTTTTCATTTTTTGTAGACAGTTTTGTATATAATGAACGATGTAGATTAAACTATCAAACTTTTTCTCACTCTACCAACGCTATAATTACGATATACAGCATTTGGATGCCAATCTTACCATTGCTATCGATATTATTTTCTACTTCTGTTTATTGTAATGGCTTATTCCTTTTAATTACTATATTGCTGTTTTTTTGTAACATTATAGCTACATATATTAAATTATCATTTGGGCGTTTGACTTTTAATCGTAGGGCTATAAATTCAAGGTTCTTCTTCCTATCATACTCTTTTACACACTATTGGTTAAAATGTTTCCAATTTCATTATGTCGTTTTTCTGACTATAGAAAACATTTGTCAAGTTGGTTTTTGTCTCATACACCATTGTCGAAACAAATGACTAGCGTAAATATTTAAGATACTGAAAAAGCAATAACAACTAAACTACTAACTTTTAGACTATCTTTCCCGGTCATTCATTTACATTACATGGTAGCAGATATAAATGAGCTGTAAATTTTTCATCTTTTTACTATCGTGCGTAGAATAGATTAGATTGTTTCTCTTTACTGAATATCATGGCTTATATATGTTGACTTGTAGTGAACATACTTACACCTGTTACCCCTCGCGGAGGAGCTTAGTCCTCTGACCAGAATAATTGTTTCTTTCTGGTTAGCGCTCTTTATGAAGGCTGTTTTCTACGGGGTTGAGTTGCTAAATCCCGGCTTGGGACCGGCAGTAACTACAGTCGTAGTTGGAGATTAGTATAAAATTACTCAATATTACTGTTTCCCAACTAGAGATTCATAATTGGTTGGAAAAACGTTTATACTTTGATTGGTCGCTATAGTTGAATCCTGTCTTTTTTTTAAACGAAAACGACTTTGATTTCTACACACATACTCATAAACAATGTCAAGCAAACATTGTGATTGGTAACTATCCGTTTCTCAACATCCAGTGTTTGTTATTCGTTAAGTTGGTAAGCGCCGTGAGTAACAGTTAACTTCGAACTTTTGCAGTATTTGTGTTGGAATGCTCTAAAAGCAGACAGATATGGATAATTTCAGATGCCTGAAATAATATCTCCGATAGAAATTACGATGTAGTGATTTGTGTTCAAATGATCGGTATTCGAGAACAATTTCCCCAAACTTTGAAAGAACAAGTATCTTACGTTTCGCTACGGTTTTCGCAGAATTCAGACTACATCACTTTGAATTTAACATCGATTTTAGAGTGAAATTCTACATTGGTGAGATCAACTAGGAATCACTCAACCAGTTATTAATGGTCACATTTTCTGTAATTTCCCCTGATAAATTTTATTCATTTTAATCCATGATTTGGTTGGTTCACTGACTGTTGCTAACATGAACTGTCTTATTACGGTGTCGATTAGTATCCAGATTAGGATCACTAGCTCAATCGATACATACAACCAACCAACTATGATTATAATTAGCTCTTATGTTTTAATAACAACCTTTGTTAACATCGAAATGCTCCATTGTTATAGGTTTGATGAAATACTAACCATTAGCAAGTGTATCTGGCAGTCATTTTACCACATTGTTTGCAGATTCTGGAATTGGTTAATTCACCGATGTTGCTGGGTTTTCAATAACTGTTCCAATTTTTTGTTAGCATTCCGTTTTAGCGACTGTCATACTGATAATTATTGTGTTAATCGGTTGCTTTCGTTTTATCGCACTGGGAAAGCAATATACTCCCTGCTTGTTGGGAATGTTTATGATTGTTAGCAAGCAATTAGTTGTACGATTCTTAAATTCTTATTTAATTTTATCTTATAGTTTGAGTGTTAACTTTTGGGCAAACTGAGTTTCTCTATCCCTTTCCTTTAGATAGAACATTGTTCCTTGCTTGATGGGATACTTTTTGTGTTTAACAAATAATCAGTTTGTATTCTTTAGATTTGTTCGCTGGAAGTCTCATAGTTTGTTTGTACTTGGTGTTGTTGTAATTAGTGACTGTGCTTTTTGGAGAAAGGATCGTTCAATCATATTTTATTTATTTTGATAGTATTAATCTCAGACTTCTAGAATTTACATTAGTCTCACTGCCGAAGGCTAATATCTTTTTTACGTATCGTGGCAAATTTTCTGATTCCGTAAGATCGGACAACAATACCAGAGACATATGTCGAAATATCCTGTTTAGCATCGTACACATTCGTTTACCCAGTTCGTGGTAATGAGTACCGGAACAAAATATGCCAAGTGTGAGAATGGTTTTTGGATACTTGTATTTCACACCTGTATTCCAATTTTACGTGACTATTAATTTGGACATTTTTAGTCTGTTAAACTGCACTATACCCATGCTCATGGGTTAGAATCTCGTTTTGAAATTTAGAAGCTATATAAATATGGTAATGTTCGTGGTCGAAATGGTGCACACAAAGAACAACTAAGTGTTTGTTTGTAATTCCCAGTAAACAGTATGTTATTTACCAATCAGAAAACACTTTGTTTTATCAGGTGATACAAAATCGATTCTATGTAAAAGGCACGAAGGCAGAAGTTATAAAATTCGTTTGATTGAATCTATTAGCAATATATTTTTGACGTATATGATGTAAGTGACATAGAAAGTTTGGGCATGCTCACAATCATTCGCTAGGCATCTATTATTCCCTCGCTATTAATCGGTAGTGTTTTGCTTAAGGATATGAATATAGACAATGTGAGGCAACAAAATATTCTTTTACATGGAAGATTTGATTACTCGATAGATGCACTGTAATTCTGTGAGAAAGTTACTTAGTTATAACTGGATATTTTGGTCAGCATAGTTACTCATGTTAAGATTTTCGTTTATTGTTTGGGGAGGGTAATTTTGAGTTTTCTTAAAACTGTCAATAACTTGTAGTGACCCACTTTTGTGAAGAGAATGCGATTGGTATAATGGAAGAAATTATTTTTATAACCAACTGTCCCAGTGATTGTTTTACTGTACTTGCTTGGTTATGTGTACCAGGAAAGACAAATCCGTTGTTTGTGACCTTACACGAACTCTCGTACGCTCAGCAGTCTCACCTGTGGATTTTGGCACGATCTCGGTATTATTTTGGTGTCACGAGGTGTCAAGCCTGGTAACTGGCACGTAGTCTTCCTGCAGTGAGGATCATAGTCGATAGCGACTCGACGACTATTAGTCTTTTCTGGTACACAAACAGACAAGTACAATAAAACAATCACTGGAACAATTGTTTATAATAGTAATTGTTCCCATTATGCCGATCGTGTTCTCTTCATTAAAGTAGGTCACTGCAGGAGCCTCCCACTAGAAAGGATTTGCACTTTCGATACTTAGCGATTCCCTTTGTGGGACTGATCGGCAAGCGTAAGATTGTAGGATGAAGTGCTTGACAAACAGGGAGCGATCGCCGATCCTCGAGTTGTCTCCGAAGATCTTTTATGTAGGACAGTATCAGGAGTAACATGCTATACTTGTTGCTTCAGTTGGCGTACCACACCAGAGGTGTTTGTGTCCAGAATCTGAGGGCTGCGGACCAGGAAACGCTGCAGACGTAGGATGGAACCAGAAGCGGCCATAATGACCAATTGCGAGGGCAAACATATGCCAGACAGATTCGAAACCAGAATATCGACTGAAAGCGATGACAAGAGCGTCCTTGATAAGGCCAGCTCCTGCCGAAATTGGCTGGATTCGACGGTAACAACAGGGCGACGGTCGGAGGCGTGGGCCTAGGATAAAAAATCAAAAAAGAGAAAAGGTGTGGTATAGGGCTAGATTCCTATGCCGTATCTGTTATTGATTTAGAGGTTAGTCGCGATAACTAGGCGCGCTCGGCGACCAGAACGTAAGACTGAGGTCTCGTCTGTAGATGCTGCAGATGACACGTGCTCTTGAACAGGTCGTGGGAGTGAGGTTTCTGATGTATCTAGCGTGAGGTAGATGTGCGAATCCCGTTAGTAGGTTTGATGGGTCTAGCATTGAGTCTCAACTTGTCAGATGGGGTATTGTCATCGACGTGTACGAGCTTGAGACGGTCAATGCTGACGACGTCGATGCGGCCATGTCGATCAACCTTGTGGGTCTTTTCGTGACGAAAAATCACGTGAAAAGGTCCTTCGTAAGGCTGTTGCAAAGGTTTGCGTACCGATTGTACTCGTATGAAAACATGTGAACAGGTAGATAACTCTCGAGGGAGAGCGACCTGTCGATGTTGTATTCGAGTTGATACCGGAGGCAGTGTTCGCATAAATTTAGACAGTCTGATTTACCGGAATCGTTACTGCTCCGTGGTGTGAAAAATTCCTCAAGCAGACGAAAGGTCGTACCGTATACAAGTTCAGTGGCGGAACATTGAGTATCTAGCCTTAAGCTCGTTCTAATATCTAAGACGGCGAGTGGTAAGGTTCCGTACCAATAGATGTTTTCGTGTACTCGAAGAACACTTTTAAGTTGGCGTTGAAACCGTTCAACTAGATCACTTGATGCTGGGTGGTGGGTGGTAGTACGTATGCGTTCCATACCGAGCAGCCGTGTCAGCGAGGAGAATAATTCGGACTCGTTCTATGAAGCGGTAAGCAACTGTCTCCGCTGTAATAGACGTGATGGGGATAGCTTCGGGCCATCTTGTGAAACGATTGATGTACGTGAGTATGTGATCATACCCGTGCGATGGTGGCAGTGGTCCCACAATGTCTGCATGGACGTGATCGAAGCGAGCATCAGGCGTAGCGAACGCAGCTACGTGCCTGTGCACTTTTGATGGTTGACATTGTAAGCACTGCTTTACCGACATACGGACATCTTTATTCTTGGACGGCCAGACGTATTGCGCAGCGATAAGGCGTAATGTAGCTGCGATACCTGGATGAGACAGTCCATGCAAAGCATTGCAGGCAAGAAAACGGTAAGCAGAGGGTACGGTGGATCGGGGAAGACCAGTAGAAGTGTCACACAGGATAG